ATCAATACAATGTTCTTCTGCGCTTTCCATTCTGCTCCAAGTATTTGCCTATTTTATTAACATCACACAATTTTCAAATTAATATACAGCATTACAACTCTCCATTATTCTTCTTTACTGTATAAACATTTATTGGCTCTTATTTATTCCATAAAAATGTAAAATAATTCAAAATCACTGATATGTGAGAAATTCCTGAGATTTTGATTGGAATTATATTAAACTGACAAATCAATATAAAATATTAAAAGTAACTAAAGAATTGTCTTCCTATCCAGAAACAAGAGTCTTGTCATCATCCTCAGAGCAAAGTTTACTAATTTCCTTTCTACAGGAGATTCGTATTTCTTACCAAGTTTAATCCCTAGCATATTTCTTGCTGCTACTATCAATGGGCTTTTATCTCATATATTTAAACTGGTTATTATTATTATACACAAAAGATCATGATATTTACATGATTTACAGTGTAATCCTACCAAACTCCATTTTAGTTTATTATCCTGGGAACTTTCTATTATCTGCAAATAATTTTTATTCTCCCTTTCAATGGTTCTCTGTCTCTGTCACCCAGGGGGTAGTGCAGTAGTATGATCCTCTCACCTCAGCTTCCCGAGTAGCTGGAACTACAGGTTGCAATACTGTGCCCACTAATTTTTTAAAAAATTTTTGTAGAGATGAGGTCCTGAACTCCTGAACTCAAATGATTCTCCTCCCTTGGCCTCCCAAAATGCTGGAATTACAGGTATGAGCCACCATTCCTGGCCCATCAGTGTTATTTTAGACAGTACTGATAATAGCAAGTATGTTGCCAATTTTAATAAAATTTTAGATCAAATTCACCATTTTCATATCTTGGCTGCCGACAGCTTGACCTCAATGTTGTTTACAAAATTATAGATACTTCCCTTAAAATGTTAACAGTAAATAACTCTAAATATTGAGAGGAGCAATGTTATTTTCCTTCACATTTTCTCAGTAAACATATTTCTGATTTTTTTTATTAGTTAGACTAGCCATGAACTCTCCCTATTTATTTTCCAAGTTTCCTTAAATGAATGGACACACATCGTGCTCATATACATTCATCCTTCTCACCTTATTTCTCCTAGTGTTCTTTGTTTCAGAATTTTTAACTTCAAATAATTTTGGTTAGCAGTCAACATCTTGCAGACGGAAAGAGAATCAAACCTTAAGAAAAGCTTTCTCTTCAGAAACAACATTCTACAGTGAAATATAGGATATCTAAAAATGATGTCTGGATACACACTTCTCAAAGTAAGCTTACTTCACTAATAAAAATGATACCTCATCCTTTTTACTAAAATACATTTTTACCCAATTAAGACTGCAGTACGAGACGCCATAAAATAAAAATATTAGCAAACTGATAATAGGGAAGTCATAACATTCTCAAGTCAGAGCTCCATGAAAACCAAATTCCAATATTCTTAATATTAGACTTGCACGTTAACCAATGGATACAGCAATTTCTTCAGTCCTTATCAAATCCTGTTTCTTTCATATTTTATTAAGTAAGCATCACACCAAACCTATCTCAAAATCTGAAATAACTAATTTGTGATACATTATCAGAAAATGTCAATCTCAAATATAAACAGCTGAACTTTTCATTTTTATTCTACTAGGGAAGTTTCAAAGTGCTGAAACATACAAGCTGTTACGCATCTTCTAAAAACAGAAATAAAATAATTCGATCACAATGGATGGCTCCTTTCTTGGCCAAAAAAAGGATGATGAATGCAATTGGAATGTTTATTGTCACTGAAATTCTTCAGGCCTGGATTCCAAGTATGCGTCCTGATGCAGGTTACTATGACAACTTAAATTACAGAAAATTTGTCCCCCTCCTACCAAGTAGTTTTCTCCGCGAGATCATTTCAAGCCTTCTAAAATTTGCGTGCTCAAATTATCTGTAACAACGAACAACTCATTACAAGTTTTATTCAAAAATGCCCCATCTAAACCCGTAAAAATGGTGTAAGCATATAAAAATAATTCCATTAAACCTATACGGGATAGAAAAAATAACCTGAAAACACACACACACACACACACACACACACACACACACACACTCACACATACACACACCCTTTAAAATATAAAACATTGAGAGTATTTTTAAACTACTTTCCATTACCAGAGGCACAGTACATTACTACCATATGTTTCATTCCAGAAACTATGGAAAATTACCGGCAGTTTTGAACTATTATAGAACTAAGCCCTGTTTATCATTATTTTCCCCTCACTAACACATTTTATGGGAAGGTACCAGAAAGAGAAAATGAGGGAAGACTGTAGTCCTATCTAGAACAGAAAGATAAGCAAGTAAGTAATCTGTACAATTTATTGTTTTATCCAGTCTGTCTTTTTACAAAATATGAGCTTTAAAGTTTCTTTTCACACAGCTAAGTGTCTTGTGATAAACTTGTGGATTATTCTCTAATATCACATGCTCTAAAAAAAAAACGGCTCAAGAGAAACTGCATCATTATGGAAAAAATGTGATTTAGCAGATATGCTGATTGCAAGAAATTAATTTTTTTTTTTTTGAGATGGATTCCTGCTCTGTCACCCAGGCTGGAGTGCACTGGCGCAATCTCAGCTCCTCCTCCCAGGTTCAAGTGATTCTCCTGCCTCAGCCTCCCAAGTAGCTGGGACTACAAGCACGTACCACCATGCCTGGCTAATTTTCTTTCTTTTTTTTTTTGAAACAGAGTTTCGTTCTTGTTACCCAGGCTGTAGTGCAATTGCACGATCTCGGCTCACCGCAACCTCCGCCTCCTGGGTTCAGGCAATTCTCCTGCCTCAGTCTCCCGAGTAGCTGGGATTACAGGCATGCGCCACCATGTCCAGCTGATTTTTTGTATTTTTAGTAGAGACGGGGTTTCACCATGTTGACCAGGATGGTCTCGATCTCTTGGCCTTGTGATCCACCCGCCTCGGCCTCCCAAAGTGCTAGGATTACAGGCTTCAGCCACCGTGCCCGGCTAATTTTCGTATTTTTAGTTGAGACATGGTTTCACCATGTTGGCCAGGCTGGTCTCAAACTCCTGACCTCATGATCCATCCGCCTTGGCCTCCCAAAGCACTGGGATTACAGGTGTGAGCCACCGGGCCTAGCCAAGAAATTAAAATTTTTAAGTAGCTCCATGAAAAAAAAAATTAAGACAGTTTTACAGTGTAGCAATACCAAGACTTCAAAGCTGGTTTTGCTCCCCATCAAAGTTAATATGACTGAAATTGGATGTTTCATTCAGAAAGGTTTAGGGAAGTCCCTCTGCTGTAAACTGGGTTCAGTAGTCAACATAGGCAAATACGTTTTCTAAGTTTCAGGTATAGATATACCTCAATGCTAGACAGACCCTTCATTTATTTAAAACATTTTAAAATAACACTTCATTCAAAAAAGGGAAACAAAGCAATAAGCTAAAGAAGTCTCTTGGCACTGTAAGTCAAAGATCAAAGGCTGCTGATCTGGGGAATACTGAATGTTTGAAAGAAACCGCAAAAAAAATAAAAACTCTTCAGCAGCAAACTTCAAGCAACTCATACAATTCCCACCTGTATTAGTGGATAACTACTAGTGATCCAGAAAAACAAAATAACTAAAATGTTCAAACCCAAATACATAAAATTCCCAAACATTAAACCTGAACCACAGTTCCTCTTAGTATAACTTACTCATAGATCCTCCTTAATAAAAAATAATTAATGTATAAAAGAAAGCTTTATAGCAGAGCTTCATCAGTAATGGTAGCCAAAACTGAAATTTAAGTGACTATCAGAGAGAATTTTAGTCAACTGTATTACATAGCACATTTTTTTTCTTATGCTTTTCTTTTTTAGACCATATTACAAATGGCAGGGCCTTAAAAATAGCGTCTAAATAGGCTTTTTTGGCTCTCACATGGATATAACAAAATTGCCTTATAAGAATCAGGCTATCTTTTGACTTTCAACATTCACGGCCTTCTAGTTACAGTTTTTGCTAATGTTGCAAGCAACATAGCAGGGTCTACAAAAGAGCAACTGAACCAGTTAGAATATGGATTTGTGGTTTTAGCAGTCCAGCCTCTTCATATAATACAGGAATTATTAAAAGGCTGTAAAGTTTTCTATTTCAGGGGGAAATCAGTTTATGTGAGGCCTTTGAGACCCATAATCTAGTTTAAAATGCACACACATAACGTTTGCAAATGAGGGATTAAGGAATTTATGAGACATCAGGCTGGCTGGTGCCCTTACAGAGTTTATTCACCTGTAGAGTGTGAACAATTTATGCATAAGTGATTTAACTACTACAAACAAAGTCAAATTATTTTCCCTCCTGGGATCAATAAGTCATTTAAATACTCAAGAGACAAAAGATGACATACAGCAAGCATTCTAAAACTGAGATGTAATTTAGCTGCATATTCTGACCTAAGGAGATTTTTGTGTAACCCTCCTTGACTTAATGAAGCAATAATAGACATTATTAAAGAAACAGAAACACAAGCTATTGGATTTTTCACTTGGATTTTACCAAGATTATTATAGAGAAAAAAAGTCTGAAAAACTAGTTAGCCATCAAGATTTTCTAACCTTTCACTTTTAGAAATACTTCTCTGCTTTAAAAGAGGCTGCCAATTTATAGCATTAGTAGAATTGTGCTCAGAAAGCCCAAGAGTGGTGACATACAGCTTTGAAGTATTTTGCTTCAGACTCCAAATCGGCATGTTTTATGATGCTTTTAGTGTCAACCCAAATTTGGACCTAGGAATTATATTGCAGTAGCAACACATAGTATCACCAACCATACTCAGTCCTTCTCTAAATAAAGGGCTTACAAATGATGATTCTTAAGAGTTCACTAATAAACACGATCTATAAAAGCGTCCTGAAACTTTGGAAGGTTTTTTAAAAAGTCACTGAAAGTTCCCTCTTCTTGAACGTAACGCAGGTGAGGAGTACACCTCGGCACCACTCACCTCAGCACGCGGGAGCCTCTGAGCCGGTGGGTGCGAGGTAGTCTTGAGGAAGGACAGCACCACGCAGATATTCCAGGAGGATCTACACAGGTACCTGCAAAGGTACACAGGGTTCTTACAGTGCTGGCTGAATTTTTATCTTAAAAATCCTAAATCATTCCATTTTAACTTAGAATCACCGAAGAGCAAAACACAAGTGTATGGCTTCAAATAATTTTCCCAAGAATTTTCCTCCCCTGTCCCCACTTTCCCTCTTAGCCATCTGAATTGCAGTCCTTGTGGGGAGGGTTTGTTTTCTGTTTGGTTTCAATTAGCATTTTTGTGCTTTTGAAAGAGGAATTTCAGTTGTTTCTATAAAAGGTCATTTGATGGGCCCATGGAGTTCTAGGAGAGACTTTGTGTCTTCTTTTTCTACCGACCCCAGCTCTCTGTGATACCACACTAATTTCTTGAAGGCAGTTATACATTTGAAAAACTGCCTAAAGTGGGGCTAAAACTGAAGTTGAAGGAGACCTCTCAGGTCTTCAGTCCTAAAAAATAAAAACAAAAACACACTGCACTTTTCCTTGGTGAGTCCAAATTCCTTCTACTGACTAACCTAAGAAAGAGGGTAACTTGGCAGCATTTCTTTTGACCATTTTATTGCCTAATGCTCTGAGAATGTGAAACTTTGCCACAACATTAGCTATAAAGAAAGCCCAAGGAAGAAATCTTGGCCACAAGATGGGAATTGATGCAATTCATATGTCTGCCACATTCAGACTATGCCCTTCACAGATGTTTCTGCATTTATTTATAGAAAGATTTACTTTAGCAACAAGACCAGCTTCCATCAACCATTAAAAAAAAAAAAAAAAAATCTATCCAGACATCAAACTACTTGTATTATATGAATAGAAAATACTACCCCCAAATGTTAAAATCTGTAAATTTTTAGTCACAAAATAATATGAAATATCAAATTAGAGCATAAGGAGAAAAAACTGGCAGACCCTAAATCTGATGCAAATGTAAGAAAATATATACATGTCAAACACCACTGAGGAAGGGAGAAGTTAATCCAAAGTTTCCCCTTTCAGAGCTGGCTCTCCCTGCACAGCTGCTATATCCCTGAATGAAGACTTTGTCTCCAAAGCTGGTTACTACACTCACACTTCATACAACTTAATAGTTGTTATAAAAATGCCAATGCCTCCCTGATTGTTTTTTTTAATTGCATTTTAGGTTTTGGGTTACATGTGAAGAACATGCAAGATTGTTGCATAGGTACACACATGACTGTGATTTTCTGCCTTCCTCCCCTTCACCTGTATCTGGCATTTCTCCCCCATGCTACCTCTCCCCAACTCCCCACCCGCCGCTGTCCGTCCGCTATTTCCCCTCAACAGACCCCAGTGTGTAGTGCTCCCCTCCCTGTGTCCATGTGTTCTCATTGTTCAGTTCCTGATTATTTTTTACATAATGTTACAGTTACAACACAAAGGTACATTAGTGCCTGCTTCCAAATTTTAAAAGAAAGTAGCAGTTACATTTTTGTTCAATAAAAACACATAGATTTAAGCTAGCTAGGTATCGCAGAATTTCTGCTGCATTTTCTTATATCAGATGTTGGGTTAGAGTCTTCTGGCTTCAAGTAGACCTACCTACCTCCTAAAGAAGCTAGAAGAAACAGACACATCTGAGGGTGATAGGACTTGGCAAAAGAGTTCGTCTGTGGAGGGTGTCATCCAAAAAGCAAGGAAGGGTCAACCCTGCTGGGAAGGAGGACTGGGTGACAAATTCAAAACCAAATAAGAAGAGGTTAAATAGACTAACAACCACCCTAATTCCCATCCTTGGGCCTGGGAGCTGTCTGGAATCTAGCCTAGCTGCCGAAAGCACTCTTAGTTAACTAAATCAAAACCTCTTCCTAACCAATTTTTCTTCACTAAAGCCTCATCTCTCTTTTTAGTTGTGTTTTCAAGAAAAACGTTTGAGAATGGGAAGTGGACAGTTGAGAATGAGTTTCTGAAACTGACATAATCATTATCTTCTCTAGTTGTCATTAGAGCCAGAGATTTAAAGGCCAAAAAGATGATGGTGCTTATTCTCTCATATGTAATTCAAACTGACACTAACATATATGCAGAGAGTAAAATCTCTCCTTCTTAGATTTTTATAATTGCAAAATTCACTTTGAGATGAGTGGTACGGGAAGGGTAGGGGGCAGTTCTGCAGGTACCCTGGGAATGTAATGTGCTCAGGATATCTCTGCGAAAAGCCAAGCTTGGCAAAAGTCCAGGCTTGGGCTCTGGTGCACCTGCCCCGCTCCCTAGCCCCCTGTTGATTCCTATAGCCTCCTAACTACTCAACCCATTGTTCATTCTTCACCAGGTCACTTTATAGAAACAAACAAACCAAAAGATCCTATCCTATCATCCTACCGCTTTTGCAAGGTATCTACAAAAAGTTCAACCTTCGCTTGTCTGTCAGTTAACTGCAGTGACAAAATGTTCCTAACCACAAATACAAATGAGATCTAGCAAGCGTGGGACTATCTACAAAGGCAATGAGAAACACGAGGTTTAAGTGAAGATGGTCTCAGGAAACTGCATGCCCTGCGTTTTTTCCATGAGCCCCTTCACATCCCTTGAGGCAGCTGTCCAGCCAGGCCCACCTCCAGTGCCTCCCCTGAAGCCACCACGTGGCATGCACGGCCTCACTCCACTTCAGCTTCCCTGCCTCTATCTACTTCAGGTTGGCATCCCAGGTGTAGGCCTTACCAAATTTTTGTGCTGCCCAATCTCCAACTTACTCTCCAAGACTCCACTCAAATGTGATCTCATCACCCTCTGGAAACTTCCCTTATCAAAACTAGTCACTCCAGGTATTCTCAAGTGGCTCACACTTAGTACTCACTGGTACTGTTCATTGAATTCTTAGAACAACCCTGTGGGGCAGGTAATCTGTAATAAGGACATACTTAGAAGAGAATCCAAAGGTTAAATAACTGGCCCAGGGTCATACAGCTAATAAACAGGAGAGGCAAGAACTGAACTCAAGCAAATTGACTTCACAGCCCATAATCTTCAACAACTGTTTGAAATGTTTGCTTCTTTTTGAGGGCAGAGACACTTTGCACTGATACCTGCATTCACAATGCCTAGCACGTAAGTGGTGCTAGATAAATGCTGAAGGCTTGACAGATTCAGAGTTTTACAGAATGGTGGCAGGTTGTACAGTGGCTCTGAACTTATCCTCAGTGAAAGTCCTGCTAACCTGAATGATTCCTTTTACCTAGATATAATACTCCTACTACCACATGTCTGAAAAACAGATTTCTATTATATAAATACTTGAAATGGCCATAAATCAATGAATACTGACATGTAACTGTGGGGAAAAGGAGAGGATAAAAATTGGAAGTCCCACCAATAATTATATTATTTTTGGTAAAACTTAAGGTTATTCAAACATTAATTGGACACTTATAAAAATGCACTAAAGATTAAACAGTCTTTTATTTTGGTAGCTAGCCTCCACAATGGCCCCCAGAAATCCTCTCCTCCGGGTTTTCACACCCTTGTGTATTATTCTCCTACAATGAACAGTGGTAACCTGTACAGCCAATAGGGTATTGAGGAATGATGTCATAAAGACATGGTAGCTTCCATCTTGCTTCCATCAGATGCTCAAGCAGCCCTATGAGGTCCATGTGGCGAGGAGCTGAGGCCTCCAGCCAACAATCAGCAAAAATTTGTGAGGTGTATGACTGAACTACCTTGGAAGTGGATTTTCCTGCCCCAATCAAACCTTCATGCAGACTATGTAAAAAATGGACTGACACCTGGGTTGCAACCTTATGAAAGACCGAAAATCAAAACCACTCACCCAGCCATTCCTGGATACGTGACCCAAAAAAAACTAGGTGAGAGTTTAAAAAAAAAAAAAAAGGTTAACTGTTTTAATATAGTAAGTAATTTATTTAAACTAAATAGTTTATAGCAATGCAAACATAAGTTATTAATGTTAACACAATTATCAGGTTATTGCAATTCCTAAACAATGAACGCGAGCAAAATAGAATGCTCAAGAATAACTTAAGAGCAAAATAAATCCCAGTTTCCAAGAGGCTTTTTTTTTTTTTTTTTTTTTTTTAAAGAACAGAAGAATACAAACCCTCCATTTCCTTGTAGATGTCTTTTAATGACTGCTGATTAATTGTTGGGTATGTTCCCTTTCTCCAAATTAAGCCCACCAGGAGAGATAATCAAAAGACAATACTGTTGCTTATACTCATTACTGGAGATAGTTAAAAAAAGAAAGAAAGAAAGAAAGAAAAAAGACAACATTGGCATTTCTATTACTGTAAAAATGAGAAGAGTTTATTGCTCTTCTCATTTTTATTTAAGTATTATAGGTCTGACAAAAAGTCTAAAAGTTTTGGAGGAAACCAGCTACTCTACTCTGTGATTCCCAGAACCCCAAAATATTTTTTCTGTGTTTTTTCTTGAAGCACATTTCTTTTTATTGAAAAAAGAAAACTCATCTGAAATTCTAAATATTCAACTACAAACTATGGTAGCACATTTTTATAAGTGATATAACTGTGTATCCACAGAATAAACTATAAATATTACAGAATTCTAAACTAATCCTCAATTTTTGTTTCTCTAATAAGAGTGGGAACATTCAAGGTGTTTTTTTTTTTCCTTCTTTGACATCAAAATACATAGCAATACACAATATTAGTAAGGAAAATATCTTAGGTTTTTACATAACCCAGATGAAATGTTAGCAATATGATCACATAAACAGTAAGGTAGATATTCTGTGGAAATAAATCTATTATGATGCTATTAAACTATGTTAGTTTGCAAAGCAGAGATCAATGGTAATACTGAAATTAATTATTTATATAATAAACCTTTACCAAGCTCTTAACCATATTTGAAATACGATGGGGATTACAAAGATGAAGATATGGGTTTCATTCCAGTAACTGCAGTATTTGTGAAATGTAACTAATGTCTAGTAACAATAATATCAAATGAATGTTTGGTAAACAATAAAGAGACTTGGAAAAAAGCCACAGCAGAGTTCATACAAGAGAAA